AGAGCTACAAACTTGGATTTTTTAAAAATATTTTTTTCAAGGATTACCAAAACTACAAACGTGGATTTTTTAAAAATATTTTTTCAAGGATTACCAAAACTACAAACGTGGATTTTTTAAAAATATTTTTTCAAGGATTACCAAAACTACAAACGTGGATTTTTTAAAAATATTTTTTCAAGTTTTGTCAGAGCTACAAACGTGGATTTTTAAAAATATTTTTTCAAGGATTACCAAAACTACAAACGTGGATTTTTTTTTAAATATTTTTTCAAGTTTTGCCAGAGCTACAAACGTGGATTTTTCTAAAATTGATTTTCAATGGTTATCAGAGCCGCAAACGTAGATTTTTTAAAAATATTTTTTCTCAGATTATCAGAGCCGCAAACGTGGATTTTTTAAAAATATTTTTTCTCAGATTATCAGAGCTACAAACGTGGATTTTTCTAAAATTGATTTTCAATGGTTATCAGAGCTGCAAACGTGGATTTTTTAAAAATATTTTTTGTCAGATTATCAGAGCTACAAACGTGGATTTTTCTAAAATTGATTTTCAATGGTTATCAGAGCTGCAAACGTGGATTTTTTAAAAATATTTTTTCTCAGATTATCAGAGCTACAAACGTGGATTTTTAAATTTTTTTTTCCTTACTGGGTATTCAATATTTTTTAGAAGAGAAGTTTTTAAACAATACATAAACATACATTTTTTTAAATATTTTTGACCTATCCAGGAATCAATCATAAGAATTTATTTTATATTTGATGTTCCATAATGTACGACATTTGCAAACCTTATTCATTTTAAAATCCTTCTACAAGCACATCAGGCTTATCTTTGCCTTCTCAGTCCAATAAATTTATTCAAATATCATTTAGAAAAGAAACATTTCTACGTATTCGAAAATGTTCCTTCCGTTCAAAGGTTTCCCTTATCGCCGAATTTGTTGATTGCTTTTTATTGTAGAATTTATTTACCTGACCTTAAAATCTTAATTAAATTCAATGGCCCAACACTCGCTACCTGTTAAAAAAAAATTTAGAGGGGGCCAAACAAAAGTCAAACAATAACATGAATAAACAACAGCTCCTTGTATTTGTTACTTAAACAAACGTCGTCAACCTATTCAGACTAAGTGGCCCATTCACATCTCCGAGAGAGGGAGAAAAATAGAAGATTTTTCTTAGCAAACAACAACGCATTTGATGTGCAAACAACGACCCAACGAATGAAAAGCAATAAAAAATGACAGCAAAAGTAAATCCGTCAAATCCGCAAACACACACTCACTCACACGCACATGGCCGAGAGGGACTTTGTCAATGTCCCATCAAACTCTCCACCACCAGCACCCATTCAGATACAAGTTGTTGCCATTTGTTATTCATTTTTAGCCTTTTTTGTTTGACGAATGGTGAGTGGCCGCTAGCGAAATTTTGTGCTTTAGAAGTATTTTGGAATGATGGAAAACCCATAAAATAATATTACAAATTCCTCAATCAAACTTCCAAAAATTTTTAAAAAAATTCTTAAATATATCAGACAATTTTTTTTGTCCTTAATAAATTGTTACTAACTAATCTATCAAAACTAGTTCACGAATTTTGGCCAACAACTCTTAATGTTGTTAATTTCAAGTCTCAAGACCAAAAGGTCTTTAAAAACATTCTCTTCAAGTAAAAAAGCTGTAAGTTCGGCCGGACCGAACTTTGAATACCCTCCACCATTTGGAACGAATTTGGCAATTCTCAAAAACAATAAAATCCGTTAAAACTTCTGTTAGAATCTTAAAAATGTCGAATGTAGCTATTATATTAGGGTCTATATATTTGTTTATAATCTAGCTAAAATCATCAAAATACCAAATATAAGGAGGTACCATGGTGGTGGTAAAACGTGGATCTGTACAGACAATTTTCTGTCATAGGCTGTAATATCCATTACGAACTTCAAATACCAAATTTGAAATAGTTCTGGTAAATAATGTCGCTGAAATCATCAAAATACCTAATATCGGGAGGTACCGTTATATGGGGGCTATACGAAGACGTGGATACATGGCCCATTTTCGATACCAAAAGTCCTGCAGATATAGTAACATTTGAGTAAAATTGTATCAACCTACTTCATTTCGTTCGGAAGCTAGAGTGATTTCCGCAGACGGACAGACGGATAGACTGACAGACGGACGGACATTGATAAATCTACATAGAATTTTATGCTGATCAAGAATATATATACTTTGTGGGGTCTAAAACGTATGCTTCGAGGTATTACAAACGGAATGACAAACTTAATATACCCTCCACATTATGGTGGAGGGTATAAAAACATGACATCTAACAAAAAATTTCACCTTAAATTTCACTATTTTCCTCAAATATTTTTTAAAAAATGCAAAATGTTTGAAAAATCCACCGTTCTTGTACAGGCAAATAAAAATTAAAAAAAAATAAGCCAAGCAATTAACCAAATAAGTAAAATACATGAAAAATGTTTATTTTTAAATCCCTGAAAAATATTTTCAAAGTCCATAAATTATATAGCAGTGAAGTTTTTTAATTATTTTTAAAAATCCATGAAAAATATTTTTAGATAATCCAAAATGTTTCACGATTTATGGCCAGCACTTTCTGAAAAATATGTTTAAAAATCATCGATTAATGGCTATTAAGTCTTTAAAGATATTTGTTAAAAATCTTCTATTGGTGAAGGTCATTTTTTAAATCCACAGTTCTCAACCAGCTACTTCTTGAACTATATTTGTAAAAAAATCGCGATTCTTGATTTTAAAAATCTTTGAAATGTATTTGTGAAAAACCCACCATTTGTGGTCAGGATATCCTTGAAAATTTTTCAATAAAGTTACTATTTTGGCCAGGAAATTATTGAAATCTTTAAAAATATTAAGATTCTTTACAAGTAGGTCCTTGGAAATTTTAGAAAAAAATCCAAAATCGTTGAGAGGAAGTAAAAAAATCAGGATTCCTGGTTAGGAAATCCTAAAAATATTTTTCAATAGTCCACGATTCATGAACTGGACGTCGCTAAAAATATTTTTGAAAAATCCTCAAATCTTAATCAAGATATCCGAAAAATTTTTCAAAAGGACCACCATATATACAGTTAGGAAGTCCTAGAGACATATTTTTAAAAGATCCACGAATATTGGCAGCGTAGCCCGACGTCAAATAAGTGGACGGAAGAAAACAGAAACATGAGCAGAAATGGGTCGAAAAGTAAAGAAGCGACTTGTTCGAAACACGCGTCGCAGTGTCCGTGAGCTGAACATATCGCAATCTTCCATTCGGCAAATATTGAAAAATGAGCTTGGAGTAAAGCCATTGAAATTCCCAAAAGAGCAAGAACTTACACCGCAACAGAAAGAAAATAGACTCAAAAGAGCTAAAGAATTGCTTCTCCTGGCCGAAAGTGGTGAACTGCCGAATTTGGATTTCTCCGATGAGAAAACATTCTTTGTCCAGCAGTTTGTAAACAAACAAAATGATCGTGTTTACTTGCCAAAGAGGTCAGCTTAAAAAGTGTTTATCTTCGGTTGGCCACCAGAACTCAAGCGCCGGCCATGGTGATGGTGTGGGCCGCCATAGCATCATTCGGCATCATAATAAATGCCGAATATTATCGCAAAAATATCTAGAGGGTGTATTAAAGTCATGGGCACGCAAACATTTTGGGCGCAGACCTTGGTCATCCAACAGGGCTCAGCACCATCGTACTCAGCAAGCGCAACCCAAGAATGGTTAAAAAATGAGGTTCCTCGCTACATTTCCGGCGCACAATGGCCACAAAAATCTTCGGATATCGATCACCTCAACCAAGCGCTTCGACGGGAATGGGCCAAAATACCGCAGAGCAACATTCGGGCATCGTGTGACGGTTTCAATGGCCATTTGAAGGCTAAAATTCGTGCCAAAGGTGACCAATTTGAACAAATCTAAAGTTGTTATACAATTTGATGCTATTTCCGACATTTTTTACTTTCATTCAATAAAATTAAAAAAAAAAACGTTAAAAATGTTTGGCTTTTGACTTTATTGCAGTTTTTTACCTCACCCTGTATATATTCTTGATCAGCGTAAAATTCTAAGAAGATTTAACCCTGTCCGTTCGTTCGTATGTCCATCTGTTGAAATCACGCTAGAGTCAAAACGAAGTAAGGTCGGGTCAGTCTATAGCTTGCAGGCAGGTCAAGTTCGAAGATGGGCTATATCGGCCCACGATATCATGTAGCCCCCATATAACCGTACCCCCATACTCGACATTTTCATGATTTTGGCGACATTATTCACCGGAATTGTTTTAAATTTCGTATTTGAAGTTCCTAAAGGATATTACAGAAATTGTCTATGTAGGACCAGGTCTTCGTATAGCCCCAACATAACGGGATCTCTCAGTATTCCATATTTTGATGAGTTTCGCGACATTATTCACCGGATTTTGAATATTGTAATGTCCTATGACAATATAACGACGACTTCCTATATTCGGTATTTTTAAGATTTTGACAGAATTTTTAACGAATTTTATTTTTTTTTGCGAAATTTCCAAATGCGTATTAAATGGTAGAGGGTATTCAAAGTTCGGACCGACCGAACGTACTGCTTGTTTACTTGTTAGTATTTATTTTAATACAATTTCTATAAATTCCTCCATTCCAATGGTTTCACCCTTTCTCTTTAAAATCCTCCTTTCTTTTCACAAAGTCCTTCACTTGTAGTGGCATCTTCTCATTGATTCTCTTGCACACGCATACATACATGCATAACGAAGTCAAATAAGTAAACAAAAGGCAATTTTGGCGCTTTTTTCTTTTACAAATCAGAAAAACACGCATAACAAACAGAGAGACCCAAATGAACAAGGCGCATGCTCCACAATAACAGCTGGTCTCCCACAAAAGCTTTCCGGAACCATCCCTAAAGCTTTTAAGCGACATGAAAATAAACCTTTGGCTTATATTCAGTTATCATTTGTTTGTCGGTCGGAACGGATTTATTGGCCCGAAAGAAATTCAAATCAACGAAAGTGGTTAACAACAAAGTTAAGCGTGACCGTGGCCAATGAAGTGAGGAGTAAACAAATAAAAGAAGGAGGGGGGTTGTCGTTGTTATTCCTCTGTCATTCTAGTGGGGTGTTTGATAGTTTATTGCCATACCGTACCCACTCACCAAAAAAAGGTCAATAACAAATAGTAATAATAAAGCAAAAGTGGAAATGGAAATGGAAGAAGGAAAAAAGTGCAACCAATAATACAAAATTAAAGAGGATAGAAAAACAATAACAACAACAACGGCCACAATCGACAGCCACCTTGGAGGTGGCTAACAAAATATTTCACTACATATTGGCAAGGCAATACCATTAAACATAATTAAGTGTGTGTGTGTTTGGCAAGTGTGCCTGAAAACCTAAAAGTGTATTCGAACGTTTTAATTTGTGTTGTTGGTTTGTTTGTTTTAGTGCTTTACTTCGCTGAGGGAAATGGGAGCGATTCCCCTCCTATTAAGGAAATGTTAATGTCGCTGGGAAATGAAAAGTTATTGAAAATGTTTTAGTTACCCACTTCAGTAAATGGAATAAATGAATAAATGAAAATACACGCAACTCCGAAAAAATCAGTGAAAAAGGAAAAACAGAAGAAAATAACAAAAACAAAAAAACAAACCATGTGATTTCACAAAAAACTGATGATGACACACAAAACTTCAATGTGAATTCCCATTTTTTTGGCGTTACGTACACACATACATACGTATATCGTACATCTAAAATATGCTATCATACCCATGTGTACTATGCTAAAACGAAATCTTCAAAACTTAAATATATATTGACAAACGACCAGCTAGAAAATCCATATTTGGATAAAAGCCAACAAAATTTGCTGCACCCCAAAACCTGAGAAGAATTCTTGTCATCTGCCCCTACTGCCGCTGCCACAAAGATGGCCCCAACAAGGTTTGTATAACGAGGTGGACATACAATTTACATATTTTCCCCCTGCTACTACTACTATTATTAAACTTTGCCCCAGCCTATATTATTGGCTTTATTAAAAAATTCCATAGCAAAGTCCCCCCTCACAATTCATTGGATAATTGTTAATATGCCGTCACCATGGCTTGTCGTTGAGATACGAGCATGACCTTTGAGTGTTTCAATGGAAAATTATTATCGTAGCCATCGTTGTCATAGATTCCCTTTGGGCTAGTTAACATTGCTTTGGATTTATCTAATATCTGGTTAGGGTTTGTCTGCTTGTACAAATATGAATTTAAATTAGAATTGTTTTGAGGGGGGACCGAAAATATTTCACTAAGCTGATTGGCCATCTTTAGGGTAATTTATATTCGTCAAGGATTTGAAGATCTTTTAAATTGGAAATTAAGGGCAATTTTCAATCTATATGTATAAAAGAGAAAAATGTTTGTACGTTTGCTTGTTTGTAATTTAAGGACTGAAACACTGCTAAACAGATTTTCCTGAAAATTTCCAAACACACTACAGCATAGCCTGAAAGTGACATAGGCTATATGAATTTTTAAAATTTCTCTTGGAACGGAAGATATAGCATCAGAATCCGAAATTCGGAGGTACCTTCAAAAAACTTAGTTTTTGTACGCACATATCTATTGATCGATTACAGATATAGTCGTCAAATTTGGAGAGCCTAACGGAATAACGGAGCAAAAATAGTGTCGTCAAGTTATATAATTTCCGCCGATTTCACATATCTGATGCACCAAACAGGATATGTTTAGAAGTTTAGAAGTTAAGAAGTTTACCAAATTTTTTTTGAAAGCGAGTGAGGTTTGGGTATAGCTCCCACATATATTTCAGCTGATTTCAAGTATTTTATGCAACAAACACAATATGTATGTCCGATCCCAACCCTCCAAATGGTGGAACGAATTTCGCAATTTTCAAAAGGAATTAAATCCGCTAAAAATTCTGTTACAATCTTAAAAATACCGAATGTAGCTATTATATTAGGGTCTATATGACGACGTGAACCTGCATAGGCAGCTTTGGGTTTTGAAGTTCTTAATTACAATATTTAAATGCGAAACTTAAAAAAAAATCGGTGAATAATGTCGCTTAACTCATCAAAATACCGAATATAAGGAGGTACTATTATATGGGGGCTATACGAAGACGTGGATCTGCACTGACAGTTTTCTGTCTAAGGCTGTAGTATCCATTAAGAACTTCAAAACCCAAATTTGAAAAAATTCCGGTGAATAATGTCGCTAAAATCATCAAAATACCTAATATCGGGAGGTACCGCTATCTGGGGGCTATACCAAAACGTGGACCCATTTTCAATACCAAAATTCCTGCAGATATAAAATATATGAGTAAAATGTTATCAACCTACTTCATTTTGTTTGGAAGCTAGAGTGATTTCCGCAGACGGACGGACATCTCTAAATCGACATAGAATTTTATGCTGATCAAGAATATATGTACTTTGTGGGGCTTAAAATGCATATTTTGAGGTGTTACAAACGGAATGACAAACTTAATATACCCTCCATACTATGGTGGAGGGTATAAAAAATCAATATTTATAAAAATGTAAAGAAATTGACTGACTTAAAGATTCATCAACGCCCAGACGAGACGGCTGAAGCTACAATCTTGAAATTTTGGGTAAGGGTCAACTCTTGGTCCGAAGGCCTCAGTTAAGGTTTGGTTTTTGGAAATTTGTAATAGAACGGTACGAAAAGGTATTAAATATGTTACCCTCTGTACTTGACAGTAGTAGTGCTAGAACTCTTTAATTTGGAATAAGGGTCGCTAAGGGAGTGAGTGATGAATGTACCAAAGAAATTTTGGAAATTCGCACAATAACTGTACGGAAAGTACTAAAATGTACTACATTTAGTACGATTTCGTATTGTGTGAACGATTAGAGCTAAACACTTGAAATTTGAGGTGTAGGGTTTATGTAAGACGGTTCTTTTCAAAGTGTGTACTGATGTAAACGAAAAGTACGAACCGGTACTAAATTTAGTACAATTTGAATTCGGAGGAACGGAATGATTACTATTAAGATTACAATAATGCTGAGATATGTAGGTAGTTTTACAAATTCGTATTTATGTGCACTAAATGGTACTAAATTTAGTACAATTTAAATTTTGGGTGAACCGGTATAGTTGGAATCCTGAAAATTGAAAATAAGACGTCTATTGGACTGTATGATGTAGGTAGTTATGAAAAGTTATGAAAAGGTGCTAAATATAATTCAATTTGCATTTGGAGAAACGAATGGAGCTGGAATCTCAAAATTTGAAATTAACACTCCTGGCGGAGTGTAGGATTGAAATATAGAGGAAGTTTTCGAAACTCGTACTTATGTATACTAAATAAAGTACAATTTGTATTTAGGCGAACCAAAAGGGATAGAATTCTAAAATTTGGAATTGAGATTACTACTTCCATATGTGTTCTAAATGGAGTGCAGGATATATGCACCAAAGGGTTATTGGAAATTCAAACGTTAAATTAAGGAAGTAATCTAAAATGGTACTAAACTTACAAAATGGTACCATTTGGTATTATGTCAATGAATTTGGTATAAGAATAAAGGTTGGAAATTTTATATATAAATGTGGTTTGGGAAATGTGTACTAAGGTTGCAAACTCTACTAAATGGTTCTAAATTTTGAGCTATTTGTTTTAGGGTGAACCCCTAATGAAGTGTTAGGTTAGTGATAAAGAAGTCGCTTTGGCAATTTGTACTACAAGTACACAAAAATTAATAAGTAGTACTATATTTGGTACAATTTGGTATTGGATGAACAGATAGTGCTTGAAATCTGATTAGCCTGGACTTATGGCGCTGGTTTCGGAATTGTGTGGTATAATTGTACGAAAATTTCGGAATAGTACTAAATTTGGTATTGGGTGAAGGATATGGATAAACTTCTGAAATTTGATATTTGTATTACTAATGACATCTGTGTTTGGGATTTGGCGGTGGTTTGGAAATGCATCCTATATTTGTACGAAAGGTATCAAATGGTATTGGAAGAAGAGATAGAACAGGATTTCTCAAATTTTATATTGAGGTATCTGAAATTGAGATATGAAGATAGTTTTTGAAATGTGTTCTATAATTATACGAAAATTTCGGAACAGTACTAACTTTGGTATTGGGTAAAGGAATAGGACTGGAATCCACAAATTTGATATTGAGTTCTCTCTTGGTATCTGGTGGTGGTTTTACAAATGGGAACTTTAATTAACCGAAAAGTGGTATATTTGGTACAATTTGGTGTTGTGTGACCTGATAGGGCTTGATATCCGAAATTTGACATTGCTGTCGCCGTTCATGTGCAGCCTGGACATATGGAAGTGGTTTCGGAAATGTTTACTATAATTGTGCGAAAAGTGCGGAATGGTACTATATTTGGTATTTGGGTGAAGGGATAGAGATAAAATGCTGAAAAATGATGTTTAGACTAATTGTGGTATCTGTGTGTACTATTATTGTACGAAAAGTACTAAATAGTACCAAATTTGGTATTGGGTGAATGTATAGAGCTCAAATTTGAAATTGAGGTCACTGTTGGTGTCGGTGTTAAAAATATGTAGGTTTTGGAAATGTGACCTACAATTGTACGAAAAGAAAATAGGACTAAATTTGGTATTGGGTGAAGGGAAATGCTAGAATACTCAAATTTGATATTGAGGTATCTGTTGCTATCTTAAATTGAGATATTTAGATGGTTTTGGAATATGTGATCAAGAATACTTAAATTAAGATCTCTGTTGGTATCTGAGTACTGAATGGTACTATATTTGATTTTGGATGAAGAGATAGAGATAAAATTCAGATATTTGATATTTAGATAGAAGCACTAAAGTTGTTATAGGAATTAAATCTTCAAATTTGATGATGAGTTGTCTTTTGATATCTGGAGTTGAGACATGGGAGGTTTTTATACTCTCCACCTCTCTAGAGGGTATATTAGGGTTGTCATTCGCTTTGTAACTCCTCTAAATATTCATAATAGACTCACTTTATATATATTCTGGATCAGCGTAAAATTCTAAGACGATCTAGCGATGTCCGTCGGTCTTTCTGTCTGTTGTAATCACGCTATATTTCGAACGAATTGAGATAGAAGGCTAAAATTTTGCATACATGCATAGTTTACCAGTAGGCAGGTTAAGTTCGTAAATGGGCCATGTCGGTCCATGTTTTCGTATAGCCTCCACATAACGGTATCTCCCGATATTCTGTATTTTGATGATTTCAGAAACATTAGACACCGAAATCCTTTCAAACTTCGTATTGGTAGATCTTAATGGGTACTACAACCTATGGCAAAAAAATTTCGTATGCAGGTCAACGTCTTCGTATAGTCGCCATATAACAGTTTTCACTTAAGTGGTAGTGTTCGGAATTTTTTTTTTTGAATTTTTTTAAGTTCCTTCCAAATGGTGGAGGGTATTAAAAGTTCACGGCCGAATTTAGCAATAGTTTGCAATAGTTTAGGACAGAAAAATTGGAAGTGGAAAGGTTAATTGTTACAACGAATTTAAAATTTTAAGGTGTACTTTTCACTGACGATGTTTCGGGTTCTTGCTAGTATTGTATAGAAGTTACAACAATTAGGCTACCATTTTCTACTGAATAAGCTGTAACTTAACATATGGGTTTATAGAAGGTATGTTTATCCAAGAAATATGTTTCTTGTGAACCAGATTTTAGGCATTTCGAATTGGAATCAACTAAGAAAATGACAATTTTGTTGTTATGGGGCTAAAAAAAATCCTTAGAAAATATGTTATTTATATATCAAAGCCTTGTGAAAATACGAAAATATTCGACCACACTTCGCCGCTTTTCACACACAAATTGAAATGTTTATACTCCCATTCAGAAGACTTACAAATGTATCTTCTGCAAAGTTTTAATGAAAAACGTGTTATTACTATATTAA